TGTCCGACAATATTCTTCAAAAGATTTATCCAAAGCATTCTTCACTTTGTCAGCTCACATCACTGTAGTGGTTTTGTTTTTTGCTCCATGCATATTTCTCTATGTGTGGCCGTTCCCTACTAAGTCATTGGATAATTTTTTTGCCATTGTGAACTTTGTTGTCACCCCTGTCTTAAATCCTGCCATCTATACTTTAAGGAACAAAGATATGAAGGTTGCAATGAGAAGACTGAGTCGACAGATTTTAAGTTCTAGAGAGATGATGTAACAGATTTGCTTGATGAGAACATAGGATAAATGTCATGGATCACTGAGACTCCTATGATCATCATGAACACTATGGAATGTGCCCATTTTTAATATTGCCTTAAAAAACAGAAATCTATGAAAAAATGTATTAAATCTAAGAATTTCATTTCAGATAAAGTTGCAGCAATTTTTGTTAATCATAAAAAATAAAGTATTATATATTTCTATCTAATGTGTATACCCAAATTATGGTTACTAGCAATGACTCTGTTTTTCATATAGTTATTTTATATCTGTATATAAGCACATGCACATATATATGACTTAGGGTTATTATCAGTATCTTCATACTGATAATAAGCATCACTGCAAATTAATATTTCTTATGGAAATTATGTAGATCCAGTGGATAAAATATGGGTTTCTATAAATGAATAAATGCCAAAATCAAGGAAGAAACACTTTTTAATTGTAATATAAGTTAGATAAATGGAAAGGTCAACCGCATGTTACAACTCCAGTATTATTTTAAGTTTGATTGTCCATACGTTCTGTACAATATTATTTTAGAAAGAGACTTTAGTACTCTGCATTATGCAAAATTTGTCTATATTACACTGTTTTAACAACATAATCCTTTTGCCCTTGGAATCTTTATAGCATTTCCCAATTCACTCTTTAAAAGCATCTACAACCTAAAAGTATTTGAAGAGACTTATTTTCTACAGGAGAGACTACACTGAGATCTTAAAAGCTCATTTAACCTGCCTTCTCTTAAGGTACTTAGGACAAAGAAAATGATTGACATCTTTCAGATAAAACCTGATAAGCCTGGTGGTCAAGGAATACAACTGAGACATCACTTGGATATATTTCTATGACTGTTTTAAGAAACGTTAATTGTGCTGACTCACTCTGCTCTATTTTAACTACTGTATGGTAATTAAAGTGCCAAATAAAGTGATAAGTTACAAGAAGTTAGATATTTTTTATTGGTCAAGGCAATTTTTTTATATTTTCTCCACAAGTTAGTCATAAAAGTTCAAAGCATTCCTCTTTTTATGATATCTAAGCATTATTACTGTCTTGTTAACCTACCTGAATTTTAATTTTGTTATTTTATTTTTTTTTCTGAGAGAGATATATATAAATTGTACTTTAGGTTCTGGGTACATGTGCAGACCAGGCAGGATTGTTGCATAGGTACATATATGGCAATGTGGTTTGCTGCCTCCATCCCCTGTCACCTATATCTGTACCTTTAGACTTAGTGGGAAAGCAAAAATATCCAAATAGGCCAAAAAATTGTGGCAATGTTCTCTAACTCAGGAAAATTCTGTGTGTTTCCTCCAAAGGCCAAGGGAATGCTTGTGAAACTATAAAAGTTAGGCTCAGTACTCAAAGCTCAGACTAGCTATTCCCAGATCTCTTCAGGTACATCCGGTCCATTCATAAAGGGCTCTTAATCAGCCAACTGGTTTCCTAAAAAGGACAATTCACACACGTATTATTCTCTTAGAAATTTTATGCTTCAAGGGAGTGCAAATAGAAGAAAATCTGTACTCCTCATTCTCTGAAAATTTCTGTTGTCTCTTGCAGTTATGAAGAAGGTAGGTGCAAACAAAGAGAAAACCTATCTTAGAAGAATGAAAAAAATTGTAATATCTTATTGACAACAAGATGGTTCTATTAGTAGGAATCCATTCTGCATAATTCCATTTTGTGTTTATCTTCTGGGAAAATGAAAGCATTCTATAGGGTTGACTTAAATACTTAGAGAAATTAATATAAACAATGTTAGCAAGAATAACCCTTGTTATAAGTATTATGCTGGCAACAATTATCGAGTCCTCCTCCTGACTCTTCTGGGTTAATGTGTCCTTTTCTCTCCATTTATTGGTTGTTTTGCCTACCTTTCCCATATCCAGTGTTTTCTTGCCCACTCCTTTCCTTCCTTTTTATAATACTAATGAAACCTGCTTTGGGGGATTTCTTTCACATAAAGACTAAAATCATACTGTTGAAGTTGTGAGGATTTTTAGAGCTTTTGATAGAATAAACTCATTTTAAAAACATGAAAGCTAAGGCCCAGCGATTTTAAAATGATATTCCCATGATCACACTGTAAATTTATGCTAGGACCCAAATGTCTACTTCCATCTCAGTGACACTTATTATAAGAACACAAGGCATTTTCCTTTTAACATAGGTAAATAATATTTAAAAAAAACATATAAAAATCTAATGGTTGCATTCCAGGAATAATCTAAGACATGAAGGATTTTACCTTTCAACAGTGGCTGGCTCCTCATGGTTGCTACAATGAATGTATAAGATTTTTAAAGAACTTCTTCAATGAGCCTAAACCTAATGTTCAACTCAGAATAAATACAATTCTTCTAAAATTTTTTGAATAATTTTTGAAAAGTCAGAAATGAGTGAGAATTCTTTTGAAAGAATTCTAGTGGTGAAGAATGCCCTCCGCAGCATAAATTCAGAAGAGAGATGTCTTAATTACATGAGCAAGAAATTTCTTTTCTAAAGAATAGAAAATTCCTGAATTCTTACTAACAACCATGATAGAAGGTCTTTTGCTACAGATGAGAACCCTTGGGCCAACCATCATCCTTGGCATATTTCATGTGGAGATATAAATTCAAGTTTGTCCTTGTCTATCAATGAAATAAAATAATTTTATATCAATGTATATCTAAGGTCTATTCTAAGTTGCACACTTTGATGCAAAAGAAACATTCCAACCAGTGATATCAGAAATTATCTCACAATAAAAATCCTATACTTTGTACTGTTAATGATTAGTATATTTAAGCAGAAGAGAACTGAAGTGAATGTTCATGGTTTATTCCACTCTTGGACTTCTCTTTATTCTTAAAAAATATTTAGAATCACCTAATTCTTATAGGACTTTAAAAACAGTAATGTGTTGCTTGAGTGTGTAGGACTAAGAAATGGGATTCAGAGTAATAAAGAGAAAAGTGGAATTTCTAAGCACAATGAATTACTGTGATTAAAAAATAGCAAAAAACAAATAACAGTATTCCTCCAAAAAAATTGGCGAGTGTAAACTCTATACCTTCCTGTCTCCCCTGGAATGTTAGCCATCAACTTCCACTTCTCTCCTTTACATCTTACTTGCCCATTAACTCTTACACCTCATCCAAAATTGTTAATGTGACTATGCCTCACCTTTAGGATACCTTTTTATTTGCTACTTCTCTTCACTGCAAAACTTCTTGAAACAGGACTTATTTTCTCTCCTCCCTACACAATTGAAAGGCTCTCTCAACTCAGGTCCAAAAGTCTGTCACCTAGCAGATAGCAACTTAGAAAGATGCCCCCAATATACCTTCTCATCTCTAGACAGTTATCATTATCCTTTAGTTTTTCTGAATTTATTTCTTCTCCTAAAAGGGGTCTCTATGTAAAATATTGTTATACTAGTTGTTGTTTTAATTATTATCAGAGTTAAAGTGATCACAATGTCCCCAGTCACTTAGAATAAAGACACCGGAATAACATATTTTTATTTTTCACATCTTGCTGAAAAATATTTTGTTATCAGTACCTTAATACTGGCTACTATGTATTAACCATTACTATTTAATAGAAAATTTATATACCTGGTTATATCCAATCCTCACAGAACTTCTATAAAGTTGTACTATTATCACCTGTCTTTTCCAGATGTGGTAAAAAGACTCAAATCACTTACATATTTTGTCTAAGGCATTCAGATACATAGTAGATAAACCAGGTTTTGAGCACAGGCCTCCTAGCAACAAGCTCACATCTTAATTATCTTAATATGATGCTTGCTGGGATTTTACAGGTCTTCATTCACCCCTTTCCTGCCCACACTACCACAACCTGCAATTATTATCTATTGTTAGGCGTGAAATAATCATTTGGGTTCATTTCCAAGCTCCCTCCATTCCAATTCACATTTAGTCCAGAGTTAATTTATTAAACAATCATCAAAATTCTTTAATAGTTTTTTCCTGTCTCTATAGTAAAACAGAAATTCTTTAGAAAGCATTCCAAAACCTCTTACCAATTTTATCTCCTATGGAAGTCCTTTACCCTTTCTCTCATTTAAACTTTACTGCATTTTCCTCATGGTTTCTGACTTCACTTTTGAATTCCCTATTCTTTTATCCTCTCTTATTTTTTTTTTTTGATTCGATTATTTTTTAAGTATTGTATTTATGGTATTATTTTTTCTATTTTTTCTCTTTCATTTCATTTTGGCCTATTTTTTTTCTTATTAAGTACTTTAATCTCACCATAAAACCTAAGATGTGTGCTACAGAATATAAGCTGTTTGATAGTTCAAACAAAAAAAAAAGATAAACATAAAGTTATGGCACAGGCTTAATCTGGCAGAGAGAGAAACATAAATAATAGTATTTGATATTAGTAATAAACCTAACATTAATGGAGACACTGAGAAGACTGACACACTGAATTATAAGGCATAGCCAGGGAAGTAGTGTGAGATAAAATTATGCATGCCTCCAGCTGCAAGACAATTCAACTTCTTTTTTTTTTTGGTCCAAAATAAAATCTCAGCTAGCTCAAAAAAAAAAAATTATGAGCTTTGGTTGTTGAATTCTGAAAGCCTGTAAGTAATAAATTATAGGAAGTCAGTGTAAGAGTGAGCAGAATGATACAAAATGAGGCTTTAAATCTGAATATATAATTCTGACTTCCTTCTCATTTTCTTCTTCAAGGTAACTGAAGGATCTATTTCCTGGAATGAATCAACAAGTGAAACAAATAACTCCATGGTGACTGAATTCATTTTTCTGGGTCTCTCTGATTCTCGGGAACTCCAGATTTTCCTATTTGTGTTGTTTTTTGTATTCTATGGAGGAATCGTGTTTGGAAACCTTCTTATTGTCATAACAGTGGTTTCTGACTCCCACCTTCACTCTCCCATGTACTTCCTGCTAGCCAATCTTTCACTCATTGATCTGTCGTTGTCTTCTGTCACAGCCCCCAGGATGATTACCGATTTTTTCAGTGAGTGCAAAGTCATCTCTTTCAAAGGCTGCCTTGTTCAGATATTTCTTGTTCACTTCTTTGGTGGGAGTGAGTTGGTGATCCTTATAGCCATGGCCTTTGACAGATATGTAGCAATATGCAAACCTCTATACTATACCACAATTATGTCTGGCAACACATGTGTCGGTATTGTGGCTGTTGCATGGGGAATTGGCTTTCTCCATTCAGTGAGCCAGCTGGCCTTTGCAGTGCACTTACCCTTCTGTGGTCCCAATGAGGTCGATAGTTTTTATTGTGACCTTCCTAGGATAATCAAACTTGCCTGTACAGATACCTACAGGCTAGATATTATGGTCATTGCTAACAGTGGTGTGCTCACTGTGTGTTCTTTTGTTCTTCTGATCATCTCATACACTATCATCCTAATGACCATCCAGCGCCGCCCTTCAGATATGTCATCCAAGGCTCTGTCCACTTTGACTGCTCACATCACAGTAGTTCTTTTGTTCTTTGGACCATGTATCTTTATTTATGCCTGGCCACTCCCCAACAAGTCATTAGATAAATTCCTTGCTGTATTTTGTTCTGTGATCACCCCTCTCTTGAACCCAATTATATACACACTGAGGAACAAAGACATGAAGACTGCAATAAGACGGCTGAGAAAATGGGATGTACATTCTAGTATAAAGTCTTAGATTTTACATAACTGTGAGATTCATCTCAGATGACATAAAATGTAGTGAAGTTGGTAAGTTAGTAAAGCTGATGAAAACTGTGCCTTCTATTCCCTATTAGTACTTAATAATTTAATAATAGCCTAGGAACTTTCACATACATTGCCTCAATTTATCTTTCAACAACTTGAGTGTTATATTTTAGAATACACATGTAAAGTTATTATGCTTTCAAATATTTTTTTACTAATTTTTAGAAAAAAGAAAGGCACAAACATATTACAATTTGTATACACCTGTTCCTTCCTGTATAAGCCTAAGTTTAGTACAACAAAGGAGAGTAAATAGCCTTAGCTTATAAACGTTTTAAAATTTTTATTTGGCTCATTTGTGAAAAACATAAAAAAGAACTGCCACATGCTTAATTTTTAAAAATATGCTTAGTGATAAGGAGATATATGTCAACTTTTAAGAGGTTTGAAAAAAATGCCTCCCATTATAAGAGTTTATACTTCACCTCCCACCACTATAACAACCCCAATTCATGAGGGCATTATCAGGCGTAGTAGGAAGAGCAAATTTGCCAATGTAAAATGTGTCTTTTAGGCACTTGACATCTGTGGTATATGAAAACTGCTCATAAGCAGCAGAACGAGTTTAGAGGAATCCAGTCTCTCATCATGTTGGCACAAAGTGTCTTACTAGTATCCATCTATGTCATTTTTCCAGGGTTAACTTTTAAAAACACAGATTTTAAAGTAACAACAAAAAAAGCTGGGTTCAACTCTACTGACTCTTATTAATCATGATTTTGGACACATTACTTAGCTTTCATAAACTTTCATTTCTACATTTATAAATAGGTGGTAATACAAATTATGCATGGTTTCCAGATTCATCCATGTCCCTACAAAGGACACAAACTCATCATTTTTTATGGCTGCATAGCATTCCATGGTGTACATGTGCCAAATTTTCTTTTTCAGTATATTGTAGATGGGAATTAGGTTTGGTTCCAGGTCTTTGCTACTGTACAAAGTGCTGCTATGAATAGTCTATTTTTTACAGTTGTAGGAAAAAACTTTTATTTCTTATTTGTAAAATTTACTCACTCCTTATTCATAATTCATTTAACTAGTAAGTACACTAATGTGTACAATGCACGGGAGGAACGAATATATTCAAAATTTCTCTTGAAATTTGACCAGAAGTCATGTGCACCCCTACCCTGGGAAACAAGCAGGTAGAAAAGTTTTGAATCTATACAGTAAAGTATGTTACTGTAATATATATAACATCTCTCTTATATATAGATAGATATCTAATATAACAAAGTACATTACTGTAATATATATAACATCTAATATATATATCTCATATATAACAAAGTATGTTACAGTAATATATATAACCTGTCTCTCTTTCTCTCTCTCTCTCTCTCTCTCTCACTACATAGCTTTCATAAAGCTTATGAAAGCTAAGTAATAGTGGGAAGTGTCAAATCACCATTAATTTCCTTCTCTCTCTCTCTTGCTCTCGCTCTCACTATTACTCACTTTCATAAGCTTTATGAAAGCTATATAGTGAGAGCAAGAGCGAGAGAGAAAGAGAGAGAGAAAGAAATGAATGATTTGACACTTCCCATCTGATAGTTTTTTAAATCTCTATTTAAATTAACAGTAGTGAAAGGGAAAATATAATTAGAACAAATTATATAAAATATTTGCAAAATGCTTATCTGAATTAGTCTTGGTCTTAGAAATAAAACAAAGAGATTGTTACTTTTACATCTGTTCCTAATTGATAAGCCATTCAGTTATAGCACACCTTAGCTTCTGGCCTACAGTAACCATGTTCAGGTTTTTTTCTTTTTTCAAATTTTATTATAGGTTCAGAAAATACATGTGCAGGTTTGAGACAAAGATATATTGCATAATACTAAGGTTTAGAGTACAAATGATTCCACCTCCCAGGTAGCAAGCATAATAGCCAAAAGGTAGTTTTTTAGCTTTTTCCCCTCTTCCTCCATCTGGTAGTCTATGGTGTCTATTGTTCTCATCTTTATGTCCATGTGTACTTGGTGTTTAGCTCCCCCTTTTAGGTGAGAAAATGCAGTATTTGGTTTTCTGTTTCAGTGTTAATTCACTTGGGATAATGGCCTCCAGCTGCATTCATGCTTCTGCAAAGGTTATGATTTTCTTCTTACTGGCTGCACATATTTTGTGGTGTATATGTACCACATATTTTTTTTTATCCAGCCCAAAGTTGATGGGCTCCCAGGTAGGTGAATTCCATGTATTTGCGATTGTGAATAGCATTGTGAAGATCACATGAGTGCATGTGTCTTTTTGGTAAAAGAAAAGAAAAGAAAAGAAAACAAAACTCTTATTTTCTTTTGGGTATATATGCAGTAATGGAATTGCTGGGTTGAGTGGTAGTTCAACTCTTAGTTCTTTGAAAAATCTCCGTACTGCTTTCAACAGTGGCTGGACTAAGTTATATTCCCACCAGCAGTGTAGAAGTGTTCCCCATTCCCTGTAGTCTCACCAGCATCTGTTAAACAATCTTTAAATATATGAAAAAATGTTCAAGTCTCTCAGATTAAGATACATGCAAAGAAAAATCATGTTTAAATATCAGTTCTCACCTGTAAAATATCAAATATCTGACCTCAGTATTTGATAATACAACCTGTTGGTGAAGCTGTAGAGAGAGAAGCACTCTTAAGCACTGTTGGTGAGAATATAAAATGGTACAACCTTTTTTCAATATCTAAAACAATTTAACATGTTACTGACTTTTGGTCTAGCAGACCTACTTCTATCCTAAAGATATATTGACAAAAATATAAAATAATTAATGTACAAGTCTATTCAATGAAGCATTGTTTTTAATAGTAAAGAATGAAAAAAAGGCCAGGCGCAGTAGCTCATGCCCGAATCCAGCACTTTGGGAGTGCATTTGTGGAGGCTGGATCTCCACAAATACAAAAATTAGCCAGGCATGGTGGTGCACACTTGCATTTCAAGCTACTTGAGAGGCTGAGGCAGGAGGATCACTTGAACCTGGGAGTCAGAGGTCTCAGTGAGCTCAGATCATGCCTCTGCACTCCAGTCAAGGCAACAGAGCAAGACTCCATCTGAAAAAACAAAACAAAACAAAACAAAATAATAACTAAACTAACCTCCTCTTTAACAAAGATTATAAAAGGTCTCTTAGCACAGACACCACCCCTAGAACTTCCAGTACACCAGCACCAGCTTGGAGACTGTGTCCCCATCGAAGGATAGAAAGAAGAAAAAACTCAAGCTGGCTTAGGAAAGATCCTACAAAACCTGCATCCTGGATGATGCAGCTTCCATGGACAAAACAGGCCCCAGACATCATCTTGGAGATGCTGAAGAAGACAATGCAGAAGGCTGAATGAATCCTGCTTCAGACACGAATACCATTTACTCTTCTAAATCAGCCCTTTTTTTCTGTCCTGTTACTTAGACAAACACCTTCTTCCCAGTTTCTAACAATGCAACTTCTTGGCTAAAAGGAATTAACATACCTCCAGTGGAATTCCTCATTGATGGCAGACAGTGAGCTGAGATGCCATGTAGCACTATAGGTCACTCTTTGACTAGAAAAGAATGTTGCTAATTATACTCATAATTGTCTTATTTACTAATTCTAGCATGCAAAGCCAGAATAAGAGCAATGACCCCCTCACCTGACAAAACTACTGCTGCATACATCTGTAATCTTCAATCAGCAGCATCTGATGCAGAAAACAAAAACGGGGAATGTGGGATATCAGGCAAATGGTTGGAAAGATTGTAAAATTATAATTGGTCACAAACTTTGGAAGGTCGAGAGGTTTGCACAGTTTCAGTAGAAGTTTCTGCTGAAGGCAGCCGAATCCCTTTTACCTTCAATTGATAAAGAAGGGCAAATAACTAGGGAATGTAGGGGAGTTTATCTGAATTACTTGCTTACTCATTTGGTCCTAAAACTAACCATTAATCTTTCATGGACCAAATGGGATTCTCAGGGCGAGGGCAACCAGATTTATCACTCATAAATGATGTTTGCTTTAGGCCTTGGCACTTGGTTTTTAATCGCTATCCATAAGTGTGTTGAATCAGAACCTCTGTTATTAAATCTATGTTGAATAAATATCCCGAGTGCCAGCTGGTCAGGGCCATGGCTGCTATCTTTCGTAGGAAGGTCTGTGAGTGGACATGGGCACCCCTAGACTGCTCTTTACTGTATTTTGTGTCTGAGTGAATTTGTTTATCTGTTGCTGGGTCAGGGTCTGCAGTTCAGACACTGACAGTGAAAGACTTCAACACTCCACTCTCAGCATTAAAGAGATCATCTAATAACAAAATGAATCTCGCAGTCCTTGACCTTGCTGTCTCCAAGCTCTGGAGAGTCCACAGGGACCCAGGGTTGGTCTGAACCCTCAGTACATTTCACCCACTTCATGGTAAAGTGGTGGCATTGTTCTCTATGCAGTTATCAGTCCTCACTTCTCCTGACTGAGCAGGGCTGCCTAGCCTGGGATACCTGTACAACCACACTGCCCCACCTGACCACTTCAATCATAAGTAGCCCAGCATTTCTCCAATAAGGAAATACCAGAATCAACTCACAACTCCTCCACCACTGCAATTGCAGTGGTACCACCGTTAACAACCACTGGGCTGGGGAAGAAACAAAGACCTGAGTCACTATGGTGGCACCTTTAGCATGCCACAGACACCATACAAAGAGGAGTCCTACTCCCTCCCCTGGCAACTCCCATATCACCAGGCATGTCCCCCAGCTCATGACTGCAGATCAATTGCTCCACCCACAGCTGAGCTCACCTACTGGCAGTGGCCCAGACTTTCCCCAGGGAGAGGCTCCCAGAGGCAACTGGCAGCCTTTCCGCCCCTGTCACAGCAGCAGTTCTATTCCTCCTCTCCTTCATCTTGAAAAGAAACAAAGAGACTCAAGGCTACACCTGAACTTACAGCATGCCACAGTCTTTATATGGAAAGGAGACCAGTCTCTCCTCCCAGTGAGCCCTAAACCTGCTGATCCCCTACAAGCAGACCCCTAACCTCATACCAGCAGTATAGCTGACCTACCCCACAGGCTGAATAGCAGCTCCACCTGGAGATGGAACCCCCAGGGTCAACCGAAAGCCTCTCTGCCACTGCCCTTGCAGTAATACTACCCCTGCTACCCTTTGACTAACAAAGGAGCAGAGACTCTAAGTGCCTTATCCACACCTCAAACAAGCTGCAGTCAACCACAAAGAAGAGGCCAGTTTGTCTCCCATGGGTCCCACCCATGCTCCCTGCTGTTAACCACGGATGATAGAATCAATAGTGTGAAAACGACCATACTGTCAAAAGCAATATACTAATTCAATATAATTCCCATCAAAATACCATCATCATTCTTCACAGAACTAGAAAAAAAAAGTCCTAAAATTTACATGGAACCAAAAAAGAGCCTGCAAAGCCACAGCAAGACTAAGCAAAAAGAACAAATCTAGAGGTATCACTTTACTCAACTTCAAACTATACTATAAGGCTACAGTCATCAAAAGAGCATGGTACTGGCATAAAAATAGTCATATAGACCAATGGAACAGAACAGAGAACCCAGAAATAAAGCCAAATACTTACAATCATCTAATCTTTGATAAATCAATCTTTGACAAAATATAAAGTGGGGAAAGTACACCTTATTCAACAAATGGTGCTGGGATAATTCGCAAGCCACATGTAGAAAGCAACAAACTGAATCCTCATCTCTCACCTTACGCAGAAATCAACTCAAGATGAATCATAGACTTAAACCTAAGACCACAAACCATAAAAATCTAGATGACAACATTGGAAAAGCCCTTCTAGACGTTGGCTTAGCCAAAGACTTCACAATCAAGAATCCAAAAGCAAATGCAGCAAAACAAAGATAAATAGATAGGATTTAATTAAACTAAAAAGGTTCTGTATAGCAAAAGAAATAATCAGAATAAACAGACAATCCAGAATAGGAGAAAATCTACACAAACTATGCATCCAACAAAGGACTAATATCCAGAAACTACAAAGAATTGAAGAAATCAACAAGAAAGAAACAAACAATCCTATCAAAAAGTGGGCTAAAAACATGAATAGACAATTCTCTAAAGAAAATATACAGATATCCAAAAAGTATATTTAAAATGCTCAATATCACTAACAATCAGGAAAATGCAAATCAAAACCACACGATGATACCACCTTACTCCTGCAAGAATGGCCATAATCAAAAAAATCAAAAAAGATATTGGTGTGAATGTGGTGAAAAGCGAACACGTTTACACTTTTGGTGGGAATGTAAACTAGTGTAACCACATGGAAAACAGGATGAAGATTCATTAAAGAACTGAAAAGTAGAACTACCATTTGATCCAGTAATCTGACTACTGGGTATCTACTCAGAGAAAAAGAAGACATTATATGAAAAAGATCCTTGAGCATGCATGTTAATAACAGCATAATTTACAATTGCAAAAATATGGAAACAGTCCAAATGCCCATCAATCAACAAATGGATAAAAAAATGTGATTATATATATATAATCACATTTTATTAATGCTATATATATATATATATACCATAAAATACGACTCTGTTATAAGAAGGAATGAAATAATGGCATTTGTAGAAATCTAAATGGAGCTGGAGACCATTATTCTTAGTCAGGTAACTCAGGAATAAAAAACCAAACCATGTATGTTCTCACTAATAAGTGGGAGCTAAGCTGTGAGAATGCAAAGGCAAAAGAATGACACAATGAACTTTGGGAACTAGGGGAAAAAGTGGGAGGGGGTGAGGGATAAAAGACTACATATTAGGTAGTGTACACTGCTCGGGTGACAAGTACACCAAAATATCAGAAATCACCACTAGAGAACTTATTCATGTAACAAAACACCACCTCTTCCCCAAAAACCTATTAAAACAATAAGTAAGATAAATGATATTCTGTAATTATGGTTCTGTGAATTATTTCAGGGAAGAAATCTACCACCCTATTAGCATTACTTAGCAACAATAATTAGAATTATAAATTGGTTATGGTGGAGCCAGGTGTGTAGGGAGAGGAGAAATGCAATAGTTAAAACTGTAATGTGTCTATGTGACAACTTATTATAAGTGAAACCCAGCACAAGCCAGCTTTGAACTTGCTGAATCCGGGGCATGTTACACACATAAAAATGGTGGTTTGAAACCTGGACACAAATTGCATCCCGTGTGATCCAGCTGGGGGAGAACAAAGAACTGTACCTGATATGTCTTTTGAATTCAAATTACCTTCCTGCTGCCACTGTATTGTATCCTTCACTTGTAATGAAACTATTCTAGGAGAATAATTTGATTCCCTTGAGCACTTTTAGCAATAATTTAGTGTGACTAATACATAACTGTGCAATTAATACACAAGAAATAGAGTGAAATTTATATCCTATGAAGCAGATCTTAAAGTATTAATGCTATTGGAAAAAGTTTTAGACGTGCAAGAAATCAGGGAATATTGTAATCACAAATCCTTCCCCGAGGAATCAACTAGAGAACAAACTTCAGCAAGGACATACAGGAAAAACTTTTTTTTTTAAGATGGCACCCCACAATGTTGCCAGGCTGGAGTGCAGTGGCATGATCTTGGCTCACTGCAACCTCGGCTTCCTGGGTTCAAGTAATTCTCCTGCCTAAACCTACTGAGTAGCTGGGACTTCAGGCACATGCCACCACATCCAGCTAATTTTTTTGTATTTTTAGTAGAGATGGGGTTTCACCATGTTGGCCACGGTGGTCTTGATCTCTTGACCTTGTGATCTGCCTGCCTTGGTGTCCCAAAGTGCCCAGTCAAAAAACTTTCTTGTGAAAAGATTCAGAGTGAGCAATCTATACATTTAATTGTATATCTAAGATTAAAATAAAGGTAAGAACATTGGTGGAATAAAAGAATGCAAATATTCTGTATGTTCTGACAAAGCAGGAATAATACAACCTAAACGAAATGGAAAGAGAAGGCAGAAAAGGGAAAGCAGAATAAGATCATTAATTGTGGTATAGAAAATAGAAAGAGTCAAGGATGCCATTTAAAACTGGCAAAACATTTAGTAAGAGATTAAATTAGAAAAGGGACTACCAAGGCACTAGAGAATTTATAATTTTTAAATAAATTTTTATATAAAGTTTTAATAAATTTTAATATAAATTTAAAAATAAATTCTATAGTGCCTCAGTATTCCCTTTTCTATTATGTTACTCACAATAATAAAAATGTATCCTCTTAAATAATAAAAGAAAAATTTAAGAAAAAAGATGTGTTAGGTGGAAAAAGCCAGTAAATATAGCATAATATAACCAGAAATAATAAAATGTGACAGAGTACAGATAAACATATCCGTTTATATTGATATACTTATATGTATATTCATCAGTATACATCAATGGGTTTAACTCACATATTAAAAGCAATGAGTTTCATAAAAAAACAGAATGACAACTATATACAAGAGGTACAAGTCAAAGTAGTTGAAAAAGTCTTTAAGAATTGACAAAGATTTACCATGCAAATTTAAAAGGAAAGAAGAGACTACAATCTGGATAGTAGAAAATATTAATTGAAGACAAAAGTTTTTATTAAATGAGACCATCTAGGATATTAAAAGACACAAAACAAAAAGAAGATAAAACTGATATTTCTCCATGTACATGGAAAATAATATAGAAACCACTTGTATAAAACAAAAAGCAGAGGTAGAAGTAGTAAAAAACACACTCATAAAAGGAGATTTTAACACATCACAGTCAGTGTAAGATGGTTCAGGGGATGAAAACTGAGTAAGATAATAAGATATAGATTATCTAAACAATATAACCAATAATCTAAATTTTATGGATATTTTCTAACACTATCCTGATAATAGAGAATCTCTCTCCTTTTCAAGTGCATATAAAACATTCACAAAATTTCATCATATAATTGTTCTTTAAAAAATACTAGTATCAGAAAGTAGAACTGTTACAAAAAGTACACTTTTATAAGGCAATGATAATAGAATTTAAAAGAAAAGGAAGATCCAAGATGGCCATATAGGAGCAGCTCAGGATTGCAGCTCCCAGTGAAAACACAGAGGGTGAGTGGATGCCACATTTCCAGACAGATCTTTATTGCAAACAGACCAGGAGATTCTTAGGCAGAGGAGCCCCATGGGTTGCCAGTATGGCTGTTTTGCCAGTGCCCGGGCACGGTGGTTCTCCATACAAAATACACTAGTCTGGTTGCCTTTTTAAGCTGGCGATTGGAGCTCTG